ACTCTTTATTAAGATCTCTCCTCCCAGCACGGGCTGGGTGGGATTTCAGTGAGCACTGGCTCTCTTCATCCAAAGCTGCAGCCCAGCACAGAGCCAGGCCCGCCACCAGAGGCAGAGGATGAGCAAAGGACATGCAGGAAGGCCTGAACCCCGAACTGCCTCCGCTGCCACAAAAAGGGTGAGGGGCTTTCTGCTTTTTCCGGGTAAGAGATGAAAAAATTCTTTCCTTTCGGATGGGTGAGGAATCCCTGCCACTGGATTGGAGCAGCAGCACCAACCACTGGGTGTCAAGTGCTTGTTCCAAAGGGAAAAGCCCATTCCCACAAGGACAGGGGTGAAGCAACAGCTGCCCCACAGGATGCAGCTGGGAGCCACAATGATGCCACCACCCTATTTTCCTTAGGGAGGCTGATTTAACCCTTGGGGTCCTATCTCTTCAAAGGCTCAGCAAGCACCACAGCCTGTGTTTGGAGAGATGCCAGCACATTGAGACTACCCTTGGGGACCCCACTTTAACCCCCTGGGGGTTCCATTCCCCCATGGGAGGGGATCTGTGAGCACCACAGCCTGTGCATGGGAGCTGCCAGCACTGAGGTGTCCCCGGAAGGGAGGCTGCAGCCAGGCATCACAGTGCCATCACTCCATTCCCCTTAGGGGGTTGATTTAAGCCCTCAGGGGTCTCATTCTCCCATGGGGAGCCCAGAGAGTTCTGAGCATATGTGCAGAGAGCTGCTGGAGCCAATGGGGCTCCGGAAGGGCTAAAGTCAGGCACCCCAGCACTGCCACCACCCCATTTTCCTTGAGGAACCCATTTTAACCCCTTTGGGTGGGTTCCTTTCCACTCAGAGTGGGCTCAGTGAACACCCAGTCTGTGTGTGGGAGCTGACAGCACTGAGGTGTCCCTGTGAAGGCTCCAGATGGACACTGCAGTACCACCACCATGTCATTCTCCTTAGAGGGGCTGATTTAATCCCTCCAGGGTCCCATTCCCTCATGGGGTGCTCAGTGAGTGCCACAGCCAGTGAGTGGAGAGGTACTGGCACTGAGGTGTCTCCTGGAGGGCTCCATCCAGGCACCACAATGCCATCGTCCCATTCCCCTTAGAGGCGCTCATTTAACCCCTTGGGGGTCCTATCCCTTCACAGGGGTCACAGCTCATGTGTAGGGAGCTGCAAGCATTGAACTGCCCTTAAGGGAATCCATTTTTAGTTATGGGGTGTCCCATCCACTTAGAGGGGGCTCAGCAAGTGATACAACCTGTGTGTGGAGAGGTGCTGGTGCTGAGGTGTCCCTGGGGGGCTTCAGCTGGGCACTTCATGGGGGAGCTCATTTGAGAGCCCTTTGGGGTCTCATTCATCAGAAGGAGCACAGCCAGTGCCACAGCCCATGCATGGAGAGCTGCTGGCACTAAGACATCCTCAGAAGGGCTCCAGCCAGGCAATGCCACCGTTGTATTCCCTTTAGCGGGACTGATTTAAGCTCAGTGAGGGGCTCAGTGAGCATCACAGCCTATGTGTGCGAGTTGCTAGCACTGAGGCTGCTCTTGGGGAACCCCATTCCCCTTGATAGGAAAGATATGTGTTCATGTATTTACAAACAATTCCATGGGTGAGGGTATGAATGTTAACGTCTTTGAAATGGTTCTTAATGTCTCTACCAACTTCAAGCCGCAGGTTTGTTACAGAACCCAGATAGTCTGGCTCCTGGACCAGACAAAGGGTCTGTACAAGCCTGAGTTTCTGAACTTTGAGGGGAAAATGACGTGTTTAAAAGGGGAATATGTGGTAGGCAGTTCGGGAAGGCTGTACCTTCCTAGTACCTCAGCCAGTGGGGAAAGGAAGAGGGCAACATGCGGCTGGGAGTTTAGGCTAAAAGGAGGCTGGGCCCTCCAAAACCGAGAGAGAGAAAGAAAAACCCTGTGGGCGTGTGCCCCAGTGGACAATCTCTCCCTTTATCTAAACCAAGTTGCAGGACTCCTCTGTCTCCTTTATGGACACTGGCCTTTCCCAGTGTGATTTCTGCATGCCCTCAAAGCACACTCAGTGAGCACCCAGCGTACATGTGGTGAGTGGCCCCAGGGGTGCTGAAGCGAAGAGTCAGAACCACTACTATCCCAGCCCCCTCAGATGGGCTGATTTAAGTTCTTAAGTCCTCTCATTGGCCCTTGGGGTCCTGTTCTCCTCAGAGGAATATGGAGTGTTGCCAGTGCTGAGATGTCCCAGAGGAGCTCCAGCTGGGCAGTGCCACCACCATTCCACTCCCTGAGGGACTTAACCCCTCAGGAGACCCATTCCCTCCTGGGATGTTCCATGAGCACCACAGCCCATGAGTGGAGAGCTTCTGATACTGAGGTGTCCCAGAGGAGCTACACCTGGGCACCACAGTGCCACCACCACCCCATTCCATTCAGAGGGGCTGATTTAACCGCTCAGGGATTCCATCCTGGCTGAGGGGGCTGAGTCAGTACCACAGCTCACATGTGAAGAAATGATGACACTAAGCCTGCCCTTGGGGACCTCAATTTAATGCCTAGGGGATCCCATTCTCCTCACGGAGGGGGCACAGCGAGTGCCACATCCTGCACGTGGCAGCTGGCAGCTCTGAGGTGTCCCTGGGAGGGTGGCTGAAGCCGGACAGCACAGTGCCGCCGCCGCCGCCGCTGTCTCATGCGTCAGGGGGGCTGACTGAATCCCTCGGGTAACGCCACATTAACCCGTGGGAGCCCCATCCCCTCAAGGCGCCCGGGGCGAGGCGGCTCCGAGCGGCGCTGGCGGGAGCGGGCCGATAGAGATGGCGGCGGGCAGGCGCCACGCGGCCGGCGCGGGCCGCGCGCATGCGCTGCAGCCCCGCCCCTCAGGGGTGCCCCCTCCCCTCCCTCCGTGCCCCCACCCTCCGCCCCAGGCGCGGCCCGGCCCGGCCCATAAAAGCCGCGGGCCGAGCCAGAACCCTTGCTGCGCCCGGTGTCCTCGCCGTCCTTGCTGTCTTCTTGTATCGCCTCTGCCGCGTTCCGGAACCGCCCGCCTGCAGTGCCGCCGATGGCCTTCCCGCCGGTGAGTGCGAGCACGTGCCGCCTCGCGAGGCCGCCCCGCCACGTGGTTCCAGGCGGCGGTGCTGCTGGGGGGGGGGGGGGGTGGTGGTGTTCCCGCCCGTTTTACCCGTGTGAAGAGGGGATGGGACGGACCCCTGAGCCCTCAGGACAGCAGTGGATGGGGCTTCCCCACTTCCTGCTGGAACGCTGATAAGGGATCCCCGTTCCGTTTGGACTGGCCTCAAGTGGGTCCTGCTGTTGAGGTACCCCCGAGGAACCTGAAGGAGCTCAGGCAAGCCATCAAATGACCCCTGCTGCCTTCAGGGAAACGCCAGAGGAAAATGGATCCTAGCCTAGTAACCTATTATTCCACTCTTCCTAGGGTTTTAGGGAGATGAAGCTGGGCTGGAGGTGCTGAGCTTAGGTTTGCATGGGGGCATGTTTTGGTTGGAGTGGGCACTTGTACTCATGCAAGTCGTATTTTTTTTCTCACTTTTAAGCTGCCTTTTTTTTAGTGCATAAGGTAACCAAAGGTGTTGTTTTATTCTTAAACCATATGCTGTAAGCTCTGTGTAGTGTCTGGCTGGGGCAGGGGGGTGACACAGGAGACTCAGTTTATAACTGAGTATGGGCAAAGGTGACTCTTCTGAGACAAGTCTGTTGAAAAACAAAGGGTTTTTTTTTACCTTTTGCTGTTCCCCAGCTGAAACCAATTAATGCTCATTACTGGTGCTTGTATCATGGGCTAACAAGGTGTGCTGGCACCTGGAGTGCTGGTGAGGGGCTTCAGGTACAGCTGAGCTCAGGGAAGAGCTCCAGGACCCCGTTGCTTTACTGCAGTTTGTCTCAACTGCAGTAACAGTTGAACAGTCTCCCTAAACCAATTAAAACCTTACTCTGCTTTGACAATCTGCTGCAACAGGAAGCTCTGGGTATTGCTTGTGTACAAAGCTGCTTGTGAGTGATGGCTTCAAAGTCTTTTGTTTCAAAAGAATACCGAAAAATAGCTGCCTTAATAGTGAAATGCCTTTAAAAACAGGGGTTTTGGCAAAACTGGAGTTGTTGTGAAGTCAGTGCTCCCCTGTGAATTAAGACCAGTCTTAATTCCAACCAGGTGTGTTCAAGATGCCTCTACTCAGTAAATCCTCAGCCAGCTGCTTAACTTTAGCC